AAAATATGTTAATGAAATACTATGTAAGAATAAATAATAAAATAAATGAAATAAATAAACAAACAATTACATAAATAAATTATCAAATTTGACCCAATTTTGATTTTGAATAATTTGGTCAATTCTAACAACTCAAATAATTTACCCAATTCTGAAAATTTGAATAATTTGGCCAGTTCGTTGTATGAAATAGAAATAGGAAAGGAAATAATCCCAGTGTTAATACTCTATGATATTGGAAGTAATTTACCAACTGATAATGTTGAGAAGTCTATCCGTCTACCTGTATGTCTGTATTGCTGCCCGTACAATGTGTATGTATGTATGTGTGTATGCATGGAGTCTGTGTACATATGCGCGTACGTGTATGTGTATAAGTGTATGTGTGCATATGTATGTGTGTACATGCATATATGAATATATGTGTATGCGCATATATGTGTATACGTGCATATATGCATATGTGTGTGTGTGAGCGCATATATGTACGTGCATATGTGCATATTGTATGCACTTAAGTGCATGTATGTCTTTATAAATGTATGTTTGCACGTATAAAGTGTATGCATTGTTTTAGAGGACAGCTGGTTGAGTGAATTATTGATGTCATTTGTAATAAAGGGAATTGTCAGCGCGCGATATGATATTTGATGGAGTGGAATGTCATATGTGACATTTTGAATCATACAATGAAAATGTCTGTTAAAGATATTTTAAATATCGGAAGAGTGCAAATGTTATGTATAAAATATTTCATATCCAAAAAGTTGAAATGTAAATAATAGATTTGATGTTGAATTTTCTTAAATTTTCATTATTTATTACTAAATGTTCATTTCTGTCTGTTAATACATTAAAAAAAATTGAAATATTTAATTGTAAAATAAATGAAAACAAATTATATTCTATTTCAATAAAATATTATGCAAAAATAAATGAATACCATCTCATAGAAAAATTAATTGGTTAAATTTTTACAGCAGTTTATTTTGTTAAGATAGCAAATTTAATATAACTGAATGTTGCAATAAGGAAAAAATTTACAAATAATTTCGAAAATAATATCAAAATTGCCAGTCAATTCAAAATTTTAAGCAAAAAAAGGTGAAATTATTGCGGTGGCTCAAATTCTTCTATTTCAAATGTAAGCTTTGTAAAAATGAATAGGAAAAATCAAAAGAAAAAGGATAAAAATTTTGTGATAAACTTAAAAAAAAATTTTCTTCGTTTGCTTTTTAATTTCTCCAAAATACATAATTTGTCTAAAATTCGCAAAATTTTAACAATAATTTGATTCGATTTTAAAAGAAATCTTCTAAAAAATGGCTTCAAACTTTCCCATTCTTTTTTTCTAATTTCATTTTCTTATGGCGATGCTGTCAACTTTCCTCTCATTTTGTATAATTTTTGCAATAATTTTTTTCCCGTTGTTTAAATTCTTTTTTTTCAATTTGTTGTATTTATTGATAAAATCTCTCTTCTTTTCTCTTTTTCTCTCTCTATCACTTCTCGTTTTTCACTTTACATTCTTCATTATTACTACCCAAAAGATTGTGATTTCTGTTTTATATATGATTTCACGTGAAATTTTCTAGATAGATTTCAATATGTAAATTACACTTCTTTTTCTAGGTATGTTCGTGTACATTATACATCGAACAATGCTTGCATAATCACAATTCACGTAAATCTTAGTAAATGGTTACCTTCAAGATAAAAGTTTCACATGAATCTTTCAATAATTTTTCCTCATATTATCAGTTTGTTATTCATTGATCTTATCAACACAATATTCATTTATCATGAACATATACAGGTGACATATATCATTGCGAGATTTATTTAAAGCTACGTGAAATTTAAACGCCAATTCTTGCATTCTTGATAAAATTTATAATTTGAATTTTCTAACTAATTCCTTCAGAGTCCTATGCTAAATATAATTTAGGCACACATCATAACATTTCGAAAAATATTTTAATGGAATTGAAAAAAAAAATTGTAACTGAATTGGAACAAGAAAAAGTAAACATCAGAAACACATATGATTGGAAATGGTATTAGTTAAAATGGGGAATTTTTCAACGATTTGTTGACAGTAAATTCAACAGGAATAATCTTTGATCTTGTCGATGATATTAGAAACAGATATCTGAGAAATAATTATGAAACTTGGTCATGTGATATTTCTTATCAACAGTTAGACGATAACAGAAAATTTTCAACGAAAAAAAGAGATTTCACTAATAATTTTAATATCAAGAACAGAATCGTTAATTTTCTTTAATTTTTATTAATTTTTAAGTTTTTTTACACAAATACACATACATACATACACACAAAGACAAAGCGAAAGAAAAAAAAACCGAAACTGAATGTTGAACTTTTTCACTTTTATGCTTTTTATTTCATTCCTATGCGGTAACTGATAAACGATGAAATCCCACGCAAAGCACACAAATTTTATATGATAAAAGGAAAATATGTGATATTTTTATAATTATTATTTACAAATGTTAAATTATAAAAATTTTTCTCTCCTTACTTTTAGTCTCGAACTGGTTTACGATTTTCAAAATGATAAAATTGACAGTGATTGATGGGTTTTTTATTTCCTTTTCAATATTTTCCATTTTCCACCCCATTTTTATTCATTGAATCTTAATAGCAAACATTTCGTATTTGCGCATTATTAGCTGATATTTGATTATCTGATACGGTATCGTATTTCATACTGTGAGCTACCGTAAGAAGTCAAATAATTATGTTAAAATTAATATTTTTGCTACTTGTTTCATTTTCTTATAACATCTTACCTGCAACTCTATTTCATAACAATCAACGTTTATCATGGTTGAATAATGATTCAGTAATTAACCATAATGAGGTATTTTTTCTTTAAAAATTTGAAATCATTTTTTTGAGTATTTGCTTAATTAATGAAACAGAGGAATTATTTTTTGAAACTATAAAAAGAGGTGTACTTTTTTTGTTTCAGTTTTTTTCTTAAGGAAAAAAAAAACTTCTCGATTAAATAATAATTTTGTCCCACTAATCATTTGTTTTCGATTTTCCCAAAAAAAAATCAAAAGAGGATCAGATTTAAAAGAAAACATGAGTATTATTATCAATTGTAGTGAATATTATGAAAAAAAATAACTGTATTATAACCATTTTTCCTTCTTTTTAGCACTTGAAAAATGTTCTAAGATACCGTATTATTTCAAGTTTGTCATAATTTCAAAAATAAAACTTTTTTTTTTGTAACAATTCAGGTTCAAAAAATTAAAGAAAAAATAAAGAGAATGCAAGTTTGAAAAAGGGCCTCTTTTGTTCCTTAACTTATTTAAATGAAGATAGTTCATTTTTGAAACTTTAAACTAACTCTTATTGAAATAAATTATTCTTACCAATCAATTTTTAAATATTTTTTTTATTGCCAAAAATATAAATTTTTTTATGAATAAAATTGAACCAGAAATAAAATGAATATTTCACTGGAACTTTGGTTTCCTTTTTTTCTTCATCAACTATGCTCTTTAATAATAACCAGTTTGGGTAATACAATATGTTATATTTTTACTTTTTTCTGGTGTCACCGATAAGCTTAATTTTATTTTAAATTGCTGAGATACATGCACTTATTGTTAAACTAATTTACTGCTCTTTTTTTTTCATTTGTATTAAGGAATTAATTTGAAATTTTGTTCCGAGAAACAAAAAGAAATAATATCCGTATTTGAGATAAACAGGAAAAAAAAGGGCTGTTTAGAATTATATTTTGTTCAGAATTCTTGATCATTAGTGCCTTTTTAATAAGAAAAAAATTGACCTATTTATTAATATTGTGATGCTAATACAGTAATATATAAATTGCAATGTGGCAATTAAAGCGACTAATAGGGATCGCAAAATTTTACGTGCAATTTTCTTTTCAGCTGTAATTTAAGCATTTTAGAAAAAAAAGACAGTATCTCGTTTCGCTTAATGTTTAAATTTCAATTTTGAGACAAATTGAAATTTTAGATTTCATTTTTCAATTTCAATCACAGCTAAACGATTCAGCAATGACTAAGCTCTAATTTAATCGTCATATTGTATTTCAGAAATTTAGGGATTTAATAAAAAGAAGATATAAATTTCAATATAAAATTTCCAGCTTTCATTGTAAATTTCAATAGTTAAAGAAAATTTTTTTGCTTACTAAAGATTGCTTTAAATTGATAGGAAATATCTGAATTTTTCAGCAAGCAGTTGTGACAACCGTTGCTACAACAGAATTAACCATGGAATCAACGATGGTGAAAAATGATATGCTGGGAATTGGTTCCGATTTTATGGAAAGCAATTTAGAGGCGATATTAAGTGAAGATGGCTCATTGCATGTTAAGCCAGCTGTAACACACGTGATTGATGTGACATGGTTATCCGATGGTTTGGTACCACTTATTTACACTGACAAATTACAGTTAACAGCTACAAATAACACTGAATCTCTTCAGGATCAAAATCTTAAAATGAAAAATATTAAAATTTCAATAAGTATGGATAGTTTAGGAAATACAACAAGTTTTGAATCAAAAGCTAAATTTTAAGCAGTTTGTACAGTGGCAACCGATTCCGGCGAATTTCCGGAGGAAATAAAAACAACAATATGATATCTTAATTTTGATATTGCAGATAAAATTGCTAACCTTCAACTGAAATCAAATCAAAGCATGGAAGAAGCTGAAATATTGCAGCCTACTATTGAAGCAAAGTTTTCAAAATTTGAATTTGAATCGACGGAAAAAACAATATTGGGAAATCTCAGTGAAACGAATGATCCAGTGGAAATGAAATTTTTGATCAAATTAACTAAACAAGATAGCGGAAACAATGCTGAAACAGCAAAATCTACCACAACATCAATGATTTCTTCGTTAATTGCTTGCTTAATAATTAATTCGTACTTATTGATATATTGATAAATCTGTGTTGAAATTTAAATTTTTAATACGAATTTCTTAATTCTTATTTATTTTGCACTCGAATTTTTGTTTAATCGAATTCATTTATATATGTAATTAATTGAATTCATTTATATATATATCTATAAATACAAAATGAATCGACAATTTGAATTATATCCATTAAGTCAACTATTTTTTCAATTTGTTTTTCTCTCTCTCCCTCTCTCTTTCCCCTACTCCTCTTGTCTCTCTTATTTATATATTAATCAATCTTATGTGTAAAAAAGATGAAAAAAATTCTTTGCAAAAGGTCACACAACACGGAACAACGTATACTTGCACTTTTACTTTTTTCAGTGTAAGATAACTATTGTGCACTATTTTGAATAAAAAAGAAAAGTGAATCATTTTCAGATAAGTTAAGCAAACATAAAGTCTGCTATTTCCAAACTTTAATTCACAACCAAAAAAAAAATAGGAAATTTCAATAAACTACCTTATTCTTTTTTTAAGAAATAAATAATTTTCAATTAAAAAATGACAACAATAAACGTCGTAGTTTATTAACTTTAACTGTTAGATGTTATACTTCTAAGCAAGGCAAAAATAAAACTAATAATTTTGAATGTTTGTAAAATAAAAAATGACAGCTACCGTATTATATAAAATAAAAAAAAAAAACAAATTACATATTCGTTTAAAAAATTCATTTTTTTCGTTTAACCCATTTTTTTCTAACTTTTTATTTTTATGATATAAAACAAAAAATCTTATAAAGCTCGGTAAAAAAGCAGAAAATAAATATTCGAAAATTGAAATTTATCATTCAAATTTGTTTTTTGCAACAAATCAGGAAAATACTCTTGGCACAGTAATAAATGCTCGATTGTTCATCATCGACTAAAAGATTAGCTTCACGTAATGCTTCAAACAATAAATTTTCAGTAAGATACAAACACGTAAATTTACGTCCACCAAACGAGCACCACGTCTCTTCTAACACACCACCCATTACAAACCAACCTAAAAAAAGATTAAATATTCAGAATTTTTTTTACTTTTTACTAAATAATTAAATCTTAATTTTAATTGTTTTTTTTAAAACTTAAAGATCTATAAGTGATTATTTGAATCATTATTTTTATCATATTCCACTCAATTCCAATTTACAATTCTTTTATGATTTTAAAATATACAAATTTCGAAACTTTCTTTTCTAAAAATTTTTATGTAATTTCGATTTAGGTTAAATTATTTGATTTAACTCTACAGTGAACAAATATCTTTTCGTATATAATTTCTAAGATGAGAACAAAAAAAAGGAAAAAAGCTATTTCACCCCCAGGTTTTACTTGATCTACAACATTTCGTACTGCTTCTTTATATTCCATCTCACTATTGCAACAGTATTCCAAGCAAAGAATGCTTACAACTATCTGAAATATTAATTCCAAGAAAAAAAAATATTTCCTAAGCTTAGGAACTTTCATAATATTTAATAAATTTTCAATTTGAACATTTTTATACATTAATTAAGTATTATTAATTAACGTGTGAAAATACTGTATTTCTATATGTAGCATATTAAATATAATACTCAAAATATCGCATACCATTAATATAAAAATCAAGAATTAATTATTAATATCGATTGCGCGTTATATAAATGCATATAAAACTTAATTATTCATTAATTTTACTTACACCGAAATTATTTTGAAGAAAGCTCGGAGCATTTATCGATGGTTTTTTATGGCAGTTGCAATAAAAAATTGAACGAATCTGCAGAAAGTTAAAATAATTTGTTCCGAAAATACACGTATATACAATGATTTCGCTATAATGACAACGTTTGATCATAATTAATTGCTAACTAATATTAACACATTTTTTTCCAACGTTTTTCTCTCCTATCATTTACAATTCGTAAACAAAAAGTTAAAAAAAAAAATTTTTTTATATAATTGAAATTATAACCTTTGATTTAGTATATTCTTCCATTTCTTTCAGTTGCAACCAACCGGAACCTTCGACTGTCCCAATCATTTTAAGCACCGGTGTCCAATCAAATGAACTTTGACCATTTGTCCATCGAAATAATTCATTACGATTTTGTGGCAAATAATCAGCTAAGTATATCTGAAATTTAATTCGATTAAAATTCATCCCTTCTATAAATTAATGCTTTACAAAAAAGCTAATTATGTCATCAAATTTAGTTAGAAATCAAATTTGATTCTGTAAACATTGCAAATTATTGTTGTTTCTTAATTTAGTAGATTTTCCAAATGTGAAATTTTAAAATAATAAATATCTTTATTTGTGACAATTTCATCCAATCATACATATTTAAATCCTCTTTTTCAAAACTTACCAAATTTTAAATATTATGAGAGCTTTTGAAATTTCAATATTTTATTTAATTTCAAGCAATTATTATCGAAATAAGTATTAATTTTAGATTAGATTATGCTAAAATTTTTAAATTTATTTATCAATTTTTTGTGTTTTTTTTTATTTTTTAAAATTCCATACTTTGTAGTTGTTAAATAATTTAAGAATAGCAATGTAAGCACCGATTTTTCCGCTTCCTTTCTTTTTTTCCTTTGATTGCTTTATTTTTTATTTAATACAACTTCTCAAATAGTTTTTCTTTTCTTCTAAAAAAGATACAGATAAAATGAAGCATTTCAAAAAATTTGTTTTAAAACTAAAAAAAAAGAAAAATCCATGGACAATTAATATTATATGAATTTCTATTAAAGCGGTGCTTTTTTTTGTTCTTTCCAATGCAAGTATTTTTTTTCAAAACTTTCAAACATTAAGATCTGAAATTTCAATAAATTTTCTGTAGAAAATATCAGAAAGAAGAAAAAACGATAACATGAAGAAAAAGAAAATTTTTAATGCTATTATTTATTTATTACAGCTTCATCTGAAAGCTTAAATGATTTAGATTTTGATATCATCAAGTTAAAATTTGAGAAAATCGATAGTTTTTATCCGGAAAATATTAAAAAGAAAGGAACAAAAAAAATTTAAACAAAAATTTTAATGCTAGTTTTAATTATTATAGTTCGACATCGGAAAGCTTTCAGAGTTAAATTTTTATTTACATCGGCGTGTTAAAACTCGAAATTTTCGAAAGATTTTGTCTAGAAGAAAAATATATAAAAAATGGAAGGGATATAAAGGATAAGGAAAATTTACTGCTACCTATCATTACCATGTCATATTGTATTTAGATGCTTTCAAATATAATTTGTATTTATATTTTTAACATCAGTCAATTAAATTTCAAAAATATTTGCAAATTTCATCTCAAAAAAAAACAACATCATGCTAGTGTCACTTAAAAAATAAAACCTTACGTCACTAATTTTGAAAAAATAAAAAATAAAATACAGCTTCTCATCTTTTTTTTTGTATGATCGAATTCACCGAAATCTTTTAATTTAAAATTGAATTAATTCATCATCCGGAGCAGTCAAAAAAAAGGAAGAAGTTTATCCGGAAAATATGTTGTGCTTACATTGTTTACTTTATTCCTAAAAACAACCGAAACATGTATGGTAGGTCCAGCACCGAAATCCAAAAGATTATCACAGCAATTAACGCGTTCAGCAATAGTTGGTAATAACATAATCATCATTTGCATAGCCGGATCATCAACATTTTGATAGAAATCCTAAATTAATTAATAAAGCTCAATTTAATTTAGCATTCAAATAATTAATTCAGTTATAACAAAAAAAAATTACGAAAATATCTACAAAAAATATAATTCGTTTGTGCTTTTTTATATATTTTATTTTGTTTAATTTAAATTTTTTGCAATTTTTTTTCTAGCAAATTTAATTTTGAGTAATGAAAGAATAATTATATGGAAAAATAAGCTTAGAATTTTTAAGCCTAATTTGTGCCAACGCTTCAATAATATCAGAAGTATAGAATTAAGTCTATCATTTTCTTTAAATTAACTTGCAGTTCTATTAAATTAATTTCGAAATTGATTAAATCAATTGAATTGCATTTCATTTTTTATTTGAAAAACATCTGAAATTTTGCCATAGCATATGATTATTTATATTAAATTTCCTAATTCCGAATTAAACCATTTCAATTATTTAAGATTACAGTTCCTTCGAACTTTAGAATTTCTACTATAGATTATATATATACTTCCATAAAGCTTTCCATTCTATAATTGCAGATTTAAAAAAAAATGCACCCAAAGATAGGCGTGAGAATCGAAATTACTTTCCAGTCCATCTGTTCCAACAATCGTATCAGCTTCAAATGTCATCACTTCCGGAGAAATTTAAAAGTTCTGAAATTTTGCATCATTCAAATCAATTAATAATTTACAAAAAAAAAGAAAAGAAAAACGATATATTCGCTGTTGATTATTTGCTGAAAATATTGATTTGCATCTTTCGAATGGACCGATGAAAATAAGAAAACAATCGATAGTCCATTTACAAAACATAATACTTTCCTTTTTCGAAATACTGTAAATGAAAAATTGGACAATATTTACACGTATTACGATAGGTAATGAGTAATAAATATTTTGATATTTATTATTTACAAACAGGTATTGACTGCTTTTTCATCATTTATCAACAACCTATTTGTTTGAGTCATTTGCTTTTAAACATTCATTAAAACTTTGTTTATAAAGTTTAAATTTTATTTTTTTGAGTATGTTTTGTTCATATGTTTATAATATTTACATGTTTACAGTACTTATCATTTATTTATTATCAAACGAACAAATAATTTTTGTTCACACAAATTTTTTCTTCGTTTGTTTTTTGATGATACTTATTATCCTTAAGTTATTAATTAATAATTAATTGATTAAAATAAATGAAATATGATGACATTAAAGGGCAAAAATAGAAGGAAAAGGAAGTTTGTTTCAATAAAAAGAATTCAAACTTCAAGATTAAACAAGTTAAAATAAATTTTAATAGCCAAATGTTTGCATGCACTTGCGGTGAAGCATTTGAAGATATCGCTTAATTGATGCTTTCTGATTAAAAAACATTACAGCATCCGGCATCACTATCGTCATCGTTTTTACAACCATTAATTTAAATGACGCTAGTTTGATGGTATGCTATCAAATTTTAAATTATATAACAAATGATACAAATAAAAACATATATCAAAAGCAATTAAAATTATTGTATGCTTATTTATCGCAAGCAATAAAAAAATAGTTCTTTCACATTTATTATTGTTAATTGTATTACAAGGCAATTAAAATTCCATATTAATTATTGTTTATTTATTAAAAATAATAGAAAATAATTATTTGTATTATATTTCATTGTATCGCAAGCATTTAAAATTTTCCATTACTTATTGTTTACTTATTTATTATAAACAATGAATAATCAAAATCTCACATTATTTGTTTGTTTATTTGCCGCAAACAACAGATAACGGTTGCTTCTATTTAATATCCTCAATAACTGTCATTTTTTAATTCCTTATAAACAGTAAGGAACATTTGAACAGTAACATAAAAATATTTCCAAACTTCAACAGCAACCCTTAAAATTCATTGTTTTTAGTGAAAGTTTTCCGAATAGTTCACAATTTAAAATGTTCAATGAATTACAGTTAAAAACAACCAAAATAGAATGGTTTATTCGTATTAATGTAAAATTGAAACAAGACGAAATTCTTACAATGCCCGAAAATGTGGTGATAAAGAGATGCAAATTTTCAAATAATTGAAGAGATGTAAACAATGTGTAAATAAATATATGTGCACCATTTGTTATACTTAAATACTATGAAAGCTACTTTAAGTCTTTGTTTCGAAAAAAACTTTTCTCCAAAAAAAAAAAAGGAAAACGAATTTCATAACAATCAAATAGCGAATGATGTGAGTGAGGAGGAAAAATGTTTCGTCAGAAAAAAGACTTTTCTTTTTTGCATATTTTTAAGAAATAAACGATAAATTTAAAAACAAAAAAAAAAACAACAACCGAAAATCCTTTTCTATGACAAATTTCGCTTTTTTTTCTTGTTCTAAACTAACCATCTGTTAGTTTCAATTCTCGTAAATCATTCGTACCATTTCGTATCATTTATCAATTAAGTATTGATATTTAAATGAATAAATTTTCTTTAGTTTGTAAATGAACAATCAAAAAAAAGTACTCGAATTATTTATTTTATGTTTTATTTTCTATGCTTGAACGTCTTATATCTAATCAGTGTAATCATGTTTTTGATATCGAAAATTTGAAAATATTTCAAAATTTTTCCAAAACTATTGCCATTTTATGCATTACGCTGACACCTTTAATTAATAACAGAATCAATTTTTTAAAAGAACAAGTAAAATATGTATTTAAGTATCTAAGCGTATGGCATGATCAAGTTAAAAAAGAATTAATTTACAAATCCCCATTATTATTCATGAAAGATTGCTCGCTCAATTAAAAATTATTTGTTAATTATTTATAAATTGTTGAATTATTAGTGTGAAATCATTTTTCTAAAGAGCATATCGGATGTATATAATCTAATAATAACTATTTTCCAATATTAGATATTAATTTTGTTCATATGAAACAGAAATAATTATGCTCACATGAAAAAACTATAAATAGTAATATTTACATGAAAAAAGTAAGTCAAGTTATCAGTGACCGTTTTGTTTTATCATTAATAACTAAAAATAATTTTATTTGAAAAAGTTTTTCTGCTGATGTTAAATTTTGCAAAATTTGAATATGATTTTTTTGAGAAGTCTAAAGAAGATGGAATATTTCATTAGCACGGAATTTATGCATAAAATTTAAAGAATTTTTTATATCGTACTACTGAGTGAATTCAAAACTCCATTACTCAATTTGATTTGAATGTTCAACACTCTATTTTTGATAAAATTCAAAAATTTTGTATTATTTAATATAATTCAGAAATTACATCGCATTACGATATGTAATTCAAAAATAAGGTTGAATTACAATGAAGGATTCAGAAATTATATTGCATTACTGCATAAAATTGAAAAATAAAACTCCATTAGTACATGAAATTCAAAAATCAGATTATATTAACATACAATTAGCACACAATTTATGCATAAAATTTAAAGAATTTTATATAATGTACTATTGAGTGAATTTTAAACTCCATTACTTAATTTGATTTGAACGTTCAACAGTCTATTTTTGATAAAATTCAAAAATGTCATGTACAAAGAAACATAACACATTTGTCATCAGTAAAATTACTGTATTACATAATTTATGATTTTTACAGAAACCGTAAATTATGACATTGTAAAATGTTACGGATTCTTTCATTTCTTCTCGTATTTATTAAATGCTTCTTTGACGCATTTGTCATCAATAAAAGTACCGTATTTTCTTTTTTATTCAATCTTTAATATATCGGTTGAAACTTTTGTAGGATACAGTACGGGATTACATTATTATTCAGTATATGGTAGGTTTATGATAATAATTTCTACCTGCAATATATAGCAAAAACTTTATCTAAGCCATCACAATACTGATTACAGTGCTGGTACTGGCGAGGTTATTTAATAGCAAACACTTCGAATTTCTAGTTTAATAATATTAATCAAATTAGCAAAGTGCTCAACATTTAAGAAAAAAGCAACTTAAATTAACAGAAAAATAGTTTCAAAAAAACCAATAAGAGTTTATTTCGATTTTTCTAATCAGAAAGCTATTTAACATGAAATGATTAACGTCTTTAAAATATATTCGAACTCAAAATTAATACTGGAAAAAGTTTTTCGCGATGAAAAAAAAATGAAATTGTAATTAAACAATCAAGTACTTACACTAAGTGGCGACTTTGTACAAACTTGAAAAAATCGTACAAATTAAAAATGCTTAAAACAAAAAAAAAAACATGTAACACTTTTTTTCTGCCACAGTAAAAATGAAAATTTCATTGATTACATTTTACAATATTAATTTCCCTTATATTCAAATTTATGAATTAAAAAATTCAGAAAATAAACTGCCAAAAAAAATAATAATAATTCATATCTTTTACAGTACAATCAATTTTGTGCTATAAATTAACTTTTATTTTTTGCTCTTTTACAAAATATGAAAAGTGAAATCATTGTTGATTTCAAGCAAAGGAAAAAAAAAGAAAATTTCTTTTTTCACCAACGCTTATCTCCTGTCTAATTCTAGTTAAATGTTGAAATCATTTCTGAATTTTTTTCTTCCTCTCTCCCTCTCTCTCTCTCTCTCTCCCTTTCTCTCTCCTTCTCTCTCCTTCTCTTCTATTCCATTTTGTACGTTTATCATAACTTTGGAAAAGTTCGTTTCATCTCACATACGCCAGCACAATAAATCAAAAATTTCCAATAGTAAATTATAGGAGACGAATAATGCATAAAGGAAAGGAAAAAGTTCATCGATATTGGACGCTGCTTTTTCTTCTTTTTTTTGTTGGAAAATTTCTGTGAGATAATTCTCTTTTAATGCAACTTTAAATTCTATCATTTAAAGTAAAAAATTCTGCAAAAAAGTAGAAATTACTGATTAATATGTTTTAAACTGCCAAAACTTTTAATCATTATTAAATTGATCATTTGATATAAATAATGTTGAAAAACTGGCCAGCTATTATTGTTGTTATTAATGTTGCACGATCATCCTATATATTATGCATGCTTTTTTATCGATAAAAATTTAATCTAAAAAGCAGAAATTGAAAATTCGATGGCTGAATTATATAAAAGAACACTTTTTTAAATGTTGGGAATGTTTGGAATTTTTATATCAAATCACTTAAAATTGCATATGCTGCAAAAGATACAGAAGATGAAACGAAATTTAAATGAAGGAAATTTACGAACACTGTCCAGTAGGCTAATTTATGACAAATTTTTCTTGTCGAATAAAATTTTTAAATCAAATTTGTTTCAATCGTGCGTATCAAAAACAAATGGCAATTATGTAATTCAGTTCACTTTAAGTAACAGATTTCGCAAGTATTGTTGAAAGCAAAAGCAATAAATTGAACTTTCATCAAAGTATATTAAAAACTTTTAATTTTGAAAATAAATACAAAAATAAAAATTAAAAAACTACTAAAAACTGTTTTAGAGTTAGGTTTTGATTAAGGAAAAGTTAAAATAATTAGCTGAAGCTTACTTTATATGTTAATATGTTGTAGGAAGATATTGGCAGTCGGGAAAATAGAAATATTGTAAAGTCATATTTTAAAACTAAATTTTTGCCATAAATCGTTGAATGAAAGTTGAGATTAGAAGTATTATGTATCACACAGTAGCTACTAATACTATTGTTCATTGAATGAATATTAATTAATTATTATAGTTTTATCTATTCATCCAGCAATTAAACAATGTGCTGAACAGTAATTAACAAAATACCGTATAGCACTACCGTATAATGAACTGAATACCATATAATAAGACGATATCGTACAGTAAATCAGCAATCGTATGGCGAAATGCTATCTTTGGTGAATGAAATACCGCAAAGCGAATATATCACTGATCATATCATTTTTATATAATTCATAAATGATTTCATGAATTGCTTGGAGATAAACAAAAAGCATAAAGAAAATATGAATAGAAATGAAAATCAAATTAAAAAAAAAAGAAAATAATGAGTGAAAATATTAACGATATGATTCATAAACCTTCTTTTTTTTCACACTCATCAATCATTCATTGAATGGAAAAAATGAATTAGCAAACAGTTGGCTAAAATATATCAATCAAACTTTATTCGAAAATTTTTTTTGATCAGTTAATTACAAAAAAGAAAAAAATTAATCAAGACTAAGTGTTTTTTTTTTGGTGTCAATATTGATATTTCTGATGTTGTAGCATTTTTTTTTAAATTTAAATTAATTTGTTGTAGCATTTTTTTAAAATTTAAACTAAATTTTACTTTATCTTATAATTATTTGTGCATTATATTGTAATTATGTCTGTGCTTTTTATAAGAGAATGATCAATTTAACAGAGTAACAAATTAACCAAAATTTAATAAATTGATAAATTACCATCCTAAATCTAAACCAAATGCTTAACACTTTCCAACCGGTACTTTTCGCTAAGATTTTAATTGATAGGATAATGCAAATCATCCTAAACATTGGCTAATCATTATCACTGATTAAATAAACCAGTCATTCGTGAAATCACAATCCGGAATTCCGGAACTTTAATTATTATCATCAACCATATCATCCTAATATTTAACGCTTATTTGGTACAGAATGATCTCGAAACGCCAACACTTTTACCGTAATTTGAAAAGTAAAATTAAATGAGTCAGCGAAAGGACGTTCGTTATTTGCATAAATGAATGACAGGTTAGTTTTGAGATTTAGAAGTGCATCACGTAAAATTCAGAATATTTTGTTATATATAAGATTTAATTAGTTTTGTGTAAGTTTTAATTGTTCATGAAATTTTTTTAGTATATAGTTATAACGTCAAAATTTGAATAGTCACGTTTGAACAATTTATTAATTTCACGAAATATATTGCTTGTAAAAATTTCTTTAAGCAAATTAAGCATTTACTTTGAAATTTATTTTTTCTTGTATCATTTCTCAGATTCTTACGAATTTTTTCAATCACTTTCATTTTTTTATGCATTATTTTTTTTTTTTTTTTGTTAATTTTATTTCTAATCACTGCAACTATTATCCTTAGCAATATAACATTTTGTTTTGTGCGTGCTACCAATATTTTATTCTTAATCGTTATATTGCTTGAAATTTCAACCAAAAAAAGGTTTGTTTTCGGAAATTATGATAGAGAACTGTTGATAATTATAGTATGACATATTATAGTGTGATGCATCAGTTTTTCATTATAATCAATTTTATTTGCTAGATTTATAATGTTGCAGGCATTATCTATAAAATTAGCGAAAGGCAATAATTGATTATTAAGGCCTATTTTGCTAGTCTCTAGGCATCATCATGGATTCACAAGGTCGGAAGCTTATCGTCGTTGACAATGGAACTGGAGTAATTTTTTTATTTAAAAGAATTCTAATATTGAGAAGCAAAGTTTATCATTTGCTTCAGAGTTCGGGATTTTTTTTGTCGGGTTCAGTCTTTAAGTTAAAGTTGAATTTAGTGACACAAAGTTTTCAAGTTGCGCAATTGAATATAAATTCTAGTTTGTCAAATGTGGTTATGCTGGAACCAATTTTCCTGCGTACATATTTCCGTCAGTGGTAGGACGTCCACTAGTACGATCGTCACAAAAAGTCGGCAATATAGAAATTAAGGTATACTTTTCATTTTATTTGATTCTTTTTTTTTTTAACTTAAAAGAACAATTTTGGGTTCCATTTTTAGGTGAAAGGATTCACAGATCGTTGGTTTTCAGGATCTTATGGTTGGTGAAGAATGTACTCAGTTAAGGCAGATGTTAGAATGCAGTTATCCAATGGAAAATGGAATAGTCAGAAATTGGGATGATATGGGTCATGTATGGGACTATACATTTGGTCCAGAAAAAATGGATATTGATCCAAAAGTATGTTCCTGTTTCCTTCTTTTTTATCTTATATGATGTTATTTCAAGATTGACTAATTTGTTAGAATTTACGTAGCAAATCATAAGTTAGATGAACTTTGTTGCAAATTACAATGTATTATTTGATGTGATTTATTTAATTTTATTTCAGGACTGCAAATTACTGCTTACTGAACCACCGTTGAATCCAACTGGTAACCGTGAGAAACTTTTTCAAGTTATGTTCGAACAATACGGTTTCAATTCCCTCTATGTTGCTGTACAAGTAAGTTTTCTAGGTAATTTTTTTTGTATTGCCTACAAAAATTTTTAGAATTAAATAGTTTCAAAGGAAACTTATTGATTCTTTGTCATAGATGAAACATTCAGCATTATTAAGTGCAATTTGCTCTAGTTAAATTATACTGAAGGTCACACTACTCAATTAAATATTAATATCTCGAGAAAACTAATCATTTGATTCTATTTTTCCATTTGACAATCAAATCTTAATGTTTCACATGCATTTGATATGCCGCTTTGAAAATGGCGTTGAAAAATCCGAACTGGACCGTTTTGATGAATATTTCCACTTCTTATATTCAGTTTAATTACAAAGTGGAGATCTAATTATGTTTATTTTTACTTCATGCTCTTTCATAATTTCCTGGGAATTTTATCCTTGATTTCTCCAAGTAAAATTTTTAGGCAGTATTGACACTTTATCATCAAGGGTTACTTACGGGTGTTGTTGTTGATAGTGGTGAAGGTGTAACACACATTTGTCCAGTGTACGAAGGATATGCTTTAAATCATTTGACGCGTCGTTTAGATATTGCTGGACGTGACATCACTCGTTATCTAATTAAGGTATGTGGACGATTTTCTGAAGCGTCAGTTTATTATGTTTTTGTTTTGTATTAAAATAATGTTAATGTTGTCATTGTTATTTGAATGAAAGAATTGTATTCTCTGAGACTGATTGTATTTATTTATGAGACTTGCGAAATAAATACAATTATTTTCTCAATTTTATAAACTTTATTTTCGTAAGAATATGTTTATAAAATTAAGAAAATATATGTAATGAGTTGTTCCACCAAAATTTAAAAGTTTTTATCGAAGTAAGCGAATTTTAAATATGCTTCTGCTATGTAGAAGCATATTTAAAATTCGCTATCCTAACTCGATACATTTTCAGCTTTTGCTACTGCGAGGTTACGCTTTCAACCATACAGCAGATTTCGAAACTGTTCGTTTACTAAAGGAAAAGTTGTGCTATGTGGCTTATGATGTGGAGAAAGAACAGCGTCTAGCTCTGGAAACGACAGTACTCACAGAATCTTATACAGTAAGTATTCATAGATATTGGCTAGCGTAATGACTACTTAAACTGTTTCTATTCTTCCATTCATTCTTCCAATTCTCATTTAACTCCAATTATGGATATGATCTTTTAGTAACATTTGTAATAAGAAA